CATTTGCACCAAGTAATCACTTGGCAGATGGCTGTCTCTTGAAAAACCTTGCTCAAATTAGCTTTCACTGAGTTAAGGATTCTGGGCATCAATGAAGGAAATATCTTTACAGTATAAGCTCTCTTCATGTTGAAAAAGATACGAAGACAGCATTTTATTTTTTTAAAAAAGACTATTTTAAGACACTTTAAAGAATCTTAATATCAGTCCAATTACTCTCAGCAAGCAAGCTAATCAGTTGGACATGAAAAAATATTAAGAGTATGGCAGGAAATGCATACACATCATTTATAAGGAAGCAACATTTTTGGTTGGCCCTTGTTCAGCCTCACTTATTTAATGTCCTTGATCATTTGCCAGTTATGAGTAACGTTAATGCAATGTCAATCCTAGTGTAAAGATAGCCTTTCACTACCTTTTTTGTACTAAACGGTAGAGCTAGGGTGCAAGCAAATGGATCAGATCCCTCTAAAGCATTTATTTTAAACCCTCATTCTATAAATCATCTTATTCTACCCTCCTAACATTGATAGTAATATGTTAAACCCAAGTAGTAAAATGGCAGCCCAACAGTGTGCTAGTGTTTAAATCAATTTAATCCTACTGATTTGATATCAACACCACTAACATACAACTGGCATAATTTACACAGATCCCTTTTCTTTTTTTAAAAAAAATTCTTAGTGCACTGGTTTAACTCTAATGAGAATCAATGTGATTGGCTATGATGGTGGTCCAATCCTTCTGGCTACATATATAAGCAATAGGAAAAGGAAGAGGGCAAGACAAGAAGCAATGGGTGGAAGTTTGACATCCAACCTGGAAATAAGGAGGAAATTTCTGACAATAAGAATGATCGATCAGTTGGAACAGCTTGCTGTATACAGTTGTGGGTGCACCATCAAATATTTCACAGGCATTTCTCCAGATTTTTATAAGGACTCCTGACTTGGGCAAAGGATTGGACTAGATAGAAGACCTGAGGTCCCATCCAGCCTTGTTTACAAACAGAAAGATTTGCTAAAATGAAAATACTAGAGAAGATTGCTAATACAATTAAGATTTAAATCATTTAAAGAAGTTGAATATTGAATTCCTTCCCAAGAAAGAAATGAGCGGAAAGATTCACTAAAAGCAATTATGCAAAATTTTTATGTGGATTTCATCTATTTTCTGAGGCCTTCTTGTTCAAAGACCAAACTTCACTAATCAATTTTCATAGGGCTTTTTCATTCATTAGCTAATATTTAAAACACCTCATTAAGTGTGATTCCAAAAATATTTATGATTTATTCATACTGCTTGTTATATGAAGACATAACAAACAATATTTTATGAAGTGTAATGGCTGAATCCACAAAAGCCATAAGTCAAACCCAAACAAAGAAGAGTGTGGCTTAGCGCAATATGTGATTTCAGCTTGTAAAACCTAATAACTGCCTACATTATAGTCTGGTTTTTGACAAACATGAGAATTTCTCTCATGTTTCTTATGATGCAGAAACAAAAAATGATCTGTACATACAGATTATGTTCACACAAATGCTTAACATATCTTTGAAAAATATAGCACATGTATTATATGCTATTGTAAACCATCCAGTGTCAGTTGTGTGTGTGTATGTGTCTAGATAGATAGACTGATAGATACAGAGATATAGATATATATATACTGTAGATATTGATACGATTAAGCAAATGCATTGTTTTTCCCTTTTATTAGTTATAAGTCTTGATAATTTTATTTCAGTGCAATATATAATATAAAATTAATAAAAGTTAACATATTTCTTAAAAAGATTAAGATGTTGAAAATGGAGAAATGTAAATGAATATTAATTATGATTTAGGATGTCAATATTTCAAGCATAAATTATTTAGCTTCTTATACAAAATTAAGCATATAAAGGAGAAAAAGCACTGCAGCTTATATTACACGATAATAGTTTCAATCTTAAGCTAATTATTTAGTATTAAAATACCTACAGTGTGTTATAATTTATATACCTACAGCCATACAAAGAAAGAGTGTTGGCAAAAAGGAAAGAGGATAATCAAAGCATGTTTAATAAAAGTTAAAATATCTGAAAATAAAATGAGGAAATAGTAGGTATATGCCATATTTTAGTAGACAAGTCACCAGGTAAAGAAAGCATAAGTTCTGGTGTGCAGTTGTGTTGGAACAAATCAACTAATAAAACTCTTCAAAAGTACTAGGACTTCTGAGTTGTCCTTAGTGTTTGGATTCATGCACCACTGACTGAACCATAATATGGATTGTTTTGGTTTAAGTCTGTTGCATGAACAAAACTCTTGTTTATGAATCATTGCTTCCATATCAGAAGATATGGAGAGAACTGGCCCATAGAATTGCCAAGAGTCAAGACACAGCTGAATGGATAGCATAATCATCATCACTTACAACTTAGTGCTTTATTCAGTAAACTATGATTTAGGAAAAGTATTGTGTGAAAAGAAACACGTCATAACTTAATGATGTTTCTCTCTACAGCACTCCATAGCTGAAAAAGATAATGGCATTACAGTATATATGTGGCTTGCTTATTTGAGGTTATAAGTTGTGTGATTTTAGATAGCATTATTTGCAGTAGTGGGATTCAAAAATTTTTACTATGGGTTCTGTGGGTGTGGCTTGGTGGGCCTGGCAGGGGAAGGATACTGTAAAATCTCCAGTCAGAGGTGGTATTTGCCGGTTCTCCAAACTACTCAAAATTTCCGCTACCGGTTCTCCAGAACTGGTCAGAACCTGCTGAATACCACCTCTGATTATTTGGGTTGTGCAATGTCAGGCAATGGCATTTAATAAAGAATGGGAAACATGATGTGAACAGGTTTAGAACAAGGATATTTTGGAGATAGAAGTAGCAAGCTGTCTGGTTGGGCTCTTTGTTTTCCTTTGAAAAACATTTTCTTTGAGAAAATGAAAAGATATATTTTGTTATAGCAATAGGACTTATATTTTACTGTACGTGATAGTGCTTTACAGCAGTGATCCCCAACCTTTTTTACACCGCGGCCCGGTATCCCCAACTTTTTATGGCGCGGCCCGGTACCGACATCAGCTGGGCGCCGCCATCTTGTTTTGATGAAAAAGTGCTTCCGGTGAGCTTTCTACCCGGAAAAGCTCACCGGAAGCACTTTTTCATCAAAACAAGATGGTGGCGCCCAGCAAGCCAGTGGCCCGGTAGGACTTGTTCCACGGACCGGTACCGGTCCGCGGATCGGTGGTTGGGGACCCCTGCTTTACAGCACTCTGAGTGGTTTACAATGTCAACATATTGTCCCCAACAATCTGGGTCCTCATTTTACCAACCTCAGAAGGATGGGAGGCTGAGTCAACTTTGAGCCTGTCAGGATCTAATTCCTGACTATGAGCAGAGTTAGCCTGCAATACTGTATTCCAACCACTGCGCCATCAGGGTTATAGTTTCCTAATACATTTTCTAATACTTTATAAGAAAGTAGCGGGATAAAACAATTCCTATGCCACCCCTTTTTTTCTTGAAACGATGGAGAACAGCTAGCATTATTAATATTTTGCTTTCAGTATCACCTAATCATGGAAGCATATATCTGAAATTACTTTAAGCAACAGACCTTTGTCCAATTTCAGCTATCAAGGGATATCAAACTTGGAAAGTGGTGTAGGGCAGTCTGTCAAATTTTCACGGGGTAGAGGACAATAACATCTTCATTCACCACCATACCCCAAATAAATGGATTTGACAACTAATGTAAATTTGGCCCACTCATCTGCTCCTAAACTTTCTCAGGGTGACTGAAGTGTATAGGAGTTTGTTTCTAGAATGATATTTCTCAACTTTGGCAACGTTAAGATGTTTGGATTTTGTCTCCCAGAATTCCTCAGCCAATTGCCCAGAAACATTGTATTAAGAGTGTAGAAAAATCAATAATCAGGACAGTCTTTAGCAACAGAATCCCCTGGAAACGTGTTGGACTCCATCTCCCCCTGTGGCCAATTTGTGCAGCCACTGGCTACATCTATCTATGTCCCAAAGCCAATTAATTTTCAAAAACAACCTTGCATCCAAATAGCCATCCACATTGCCTTTGCTTGCACCCGCCCTGCTTTTGCATTTTATTTCTAACCATTCTCACTACCGCCTCCATTTTCGAAACCCCACATTTTGGTTCATTTCATGAAAACTCAGCCCATGCTCCTTGCCGTTTCTCTTCAGCTGCTTTTGTAAAGTTTTGTCTGTTTCAAAGTGAACAGCCTTTTTTTACTCTTGTTTTTCAAACTTGGCAACTTTTTAAGATGCGCGGACTTCACCTCCCACATTTCCACTGGGAGTTGGGAGTCCACAATCTGAAAAGTTGCTAAGCTTGTTGGTTTATATCCCATGACAAATGCCTTCACCTCAAATGCAACTGTCCAGCGTCAGTTTGAATTCATCAAGAATTAAATTAATCCAGCACCATCCGTTGTCGACAGACTCTTTTTAGCCCGACTAAAAATAATTTCTCTCCACCAGGCAAAGTCATCCACTGAGGACTTTTGCCGGGGAGGGGGAGGGAAGGAATGGGGGGGGGCTCAGATCCCCCTCCTTCCCGGTGTGCTTTTGGCACCTTCCTTCCTTGAAAATCTCCTTAGCAACGCCGATGCTTCTCGTCCTACCTAACCTGACACGTCACGGCGCGTTAGGGGGACAGTTAAAACACGTCTGGAGATCAGGCGGGATAACAACCCCTGGCCAACCGCGGAGACTGGAACTGTAGCCTTCCTGCCATGCGTCCCGCGCAGGAATCCGTCCCCTCGGGGCTTTGCGTGAGCGTCGCAAGGGTTAATCCTTCCGGGCAGCCGAAAGGGGGAGGAGGGGAGAGAAAGGGGGCGCTGTTGTCAAGGCGACGGCTCGGAGTGTTCCGGATCGTACCATTGCGCAGGCGGCGCAGGGAGGTGTGGTGCAGCCCAACCAGGCCCAGCCCAGCCTCCTCCTCCTTCTCCCCCCCCTCCGGCTCGAACGCGGCGCCGGGGCCCGGCAGGCAGCGAGCGAGTCGGAACCTGCCGACCGGAGGAAGAGAGCGAGAGGCGGATCCCGGGAACGGAGGCAGCGGCGGCAAGAGTCGCAACTCGGCGGCAGGCCGTCCTCGTCTCGCCCGCCCCGGCTGGGAGACAAAGGAGGAGGGAAAAGGCGGCAGCAGAGCTCCGAGGACGGAGTCGCCCGCGGGGCTGAGCACGATGCGGCGTGGGGCCGCCCGAGGCCGGGATCGAGGCGGCTGCGCGGCCTGCCTGGCGTGGCGCGGCTAGAGGAAGAGGAGGAGGCGGCGGCGCGAGGGCGGCGGCGCGGCCGAGGCCCGACGGACTTCTCTTCGGCCGAGCCCGCCCTGGCGGCGGCGATGTGAAGGCCGGGCCCGGGCGAGGGCCGGAGGGCGAGCGCGCCGAGGCTGGGTCGAGCGGCGCAAGGACGCCGGGCCCGAGGCGCCGCGCGGCGGAGGCGATCCGGGCCCGGGCGATGGAGACGCACGTCTCGTGCCTGTTCCCGGAGCTGCTGGCCATGATCTTCGGCTACCTGGAGGTGCGCGACAAGGGCCGGGTGGCGCAGGTGTGCACGGCCTGGCGGGACGCCGCCTACCACCGCTCGGTCTGGCGGGGCGTGGAGGCGAAGCTGCACCTGCGCCGCGCCAACCCGTCCCTTTTCCCCAGCTTGGCCGCGCGGGGCATCCGCCGGGTGCAGATCCTGTCGCTGCGGCGCAGCCTGAGCTACGTGATCCAGGGCATGGCGGAGATCGAGAGCCTCAACCTGAGCGGCTGCTACAACCTCACCGACAACGGGCTGGGCCACGCCTTCGTGGCCGAGATCGGCTCCCTGCGCGCGCTGAACCTCAGCCTCTGCAAGCAGATCACCGACAGCAGTTTGGGCCGCATCGCCCAGTACCTCAAAGGCCTGGAGGTGCTGGAGCTGGGCGGCTGCAGCAACATCACCAACACGGGCCTCCTGCTCATCGCCTGGGGCCTCCAACGCCTCAAGAGCCTCAATCTGCGATCCTGCCGCCACCTGTCCGATGTGGGCATCGGGCACTTGGCCGGCATGACCCGGAGCGCAGCCGAGGGATGCCTGGGGCTGGAACAGCTGACGCTGCAGGACTGCCAGAAGCTCAGCGACCTCTCCCTCAAGCATCTGGCCAGGGGTCTCACACGGCTGCGCCAACTCAACCTCAGCTTTTGCGGGGGGATCTCGGATGCGGGGCTGCTGCACCTGTCACACATGAGCAGCTTGCGCACGTTGAACCTACGCTCCTGTGACAACATTAGCGACACAGGTATCATGCACCTGGCCATGGGCAGCTTGCGCCTTTCAGGCTTGGACGTCTCCTTTTGTGACAAAGTCGGAGACCAAAGCTTGGCCTACATTGCACAGGGCCTGGATGGCTTGCGCTCTCTCTCCCTTTGCTCTTGCCACATCAGCGACGAGGGCATCAACCGCATGGTGCGCCAGATGCATGGACTGCGCACCCTCAACATTGGCCAGTGCGTCCGCATCACTGACAAAGGCCTGGAGCTTATCGCTGAGCACCTTAGTCAGCTCACGGGCATTGACCTTTATGGCTGTACCCGCATCACTAAAAGAGGCCTGGAGCGTATCACTCAATTGCCCTGCCTCAAGGTGCTCAATCTGGGACTCTGGCAAATGACTGAGAGTGAAAAAGTAAGGTGAGACGAGGGGACACCTGGAGAGCCCCATCCCGCCGGAAGGATTCACCAACTGACTGCTGCAGTAGAGGAAAGTGGAGGTGGGGGAGGCGGTGGCCCTCCCAAGAGGGGTTTGGGGGAGGGAAGGGAAAGCATCTTTCAGTCTTCCATCCTTCCGAGGTTGGTAAACTGAGGAGCCAGATTGTTGAGGGTAATATGCTGACTCTGTAAACCGCTTAGAGAGGGCTGTAAAAGCACTGTGAAGTGGTATATAAGTCTAAGTGCTATTGCTATTGCTATCTTGGCTATTTGCCTGCCTCTGTGCCCGCACAATGGAGGTGAGAGAAAGGGGGAACATACAGGTAGTTCTCAATTTAGGACCATAATGGAGCCTGCCCATCGTTGTCATAACTCCATGATGGTTATATAGTGGATACCCTGATTTGAAAACCTTTTTAGAAGTGGTTACAGGAATGTGTTGTCATTAGGCAAGTCAGCGGTCTTCTGTGGGTTCGGTTTTGCTGGAAGCGAATGCGGGTTTTCAGCAAAATCCGTAAAATAGGGTCACGTGACTGTGGGCCACCACAAATCCACCCCAAATGCGGCCAGTTGCTGAGCTGAGTATCATTACATGACTCAGTACCATAACATGCCCTTGGGGGGTGGCAGCCAGAACTTCAAACAGTCTCTAAGCAACTGGTCATAAATTGAGGACTACCTGTACTTCTTTTTCTAATTCCTTCCTCTGCATTAGAGGGAGACAACTGCACTCTAGCAGCCTTCCGTGTGGGTGGATACAGTTATCATTTTTTAAATTGGAAATGCAGCTTCTCAAACGTTTATGCACTGGGGATGGACGCACCCCTTTACCCCAATCTGATTTCACTTCTGCACTAGGGATAAAAGAATCCTACCCTACTCCCTTTCTAATTTCATGAGAACCTGCCTTTTATTGGGCAAATAGTCTCAACTTTTTCTAGTCCCTTTCGCCTATGCTTGTCCATCAACCCTGACCATGCTTTTTGTAGTCTGCTATCTTTTTCTTAATAATTTAGGCAACCTGTAGATATCAAATTGACTTGGGCATTGCCTTATACCAACTCAAGCCATTGGCCTTTCTAGCTGAATTGATTGGCAGAAAATTTCCTGTCTGAAAAGGACAAGTTTTTCCTATTGTTCTACCTCTCCTAAACCCTAGAACCCTTGTCCGTCCCCCTCGTTCTCCTTTTCCCCAATTTGAGATTAGAAACATTTAAGCCTTTTACTGAGAAGAGAGGCTTTTTTGAAATGCCATTAGTTGGAGTGTCAACTAGAGCATGTGTTCACTTTGCTCATTGTTGCTTAGAGGGCCACCACATTTTCCCCAGAAACTCATTTTTATGCTGTATCCAACCCACATCATCACTATCTTTCCTTTGCTGCTGGAACCATTGCAAAGTTGAATCATCTTTTTTACTTTTTTATGTTTCCGTGGCTTCCCCACTCCTACTTATTTCATCTTTTGAGAAAACATCTTTTAAAAAAATAAATAACAGCCAGAGTTTCATTTTTGGGAGGATTGGAGGCAGGGTGATGGAATTAATCATCACCAGAAATGCAACAAAATGCATTCTACAACCTTCCCTCCCGCCCGCCCTTTATACCTTAGCTGTTTTATTTGTTCTCTTATCCTCTTCATCCATGGAATAAGTTTGAAAAGACAGCTGAAGTGGCTACCCTTGTGAATTTTAACTCAAGTATACTATTGCTATATAAACATTTGGCTACCTCGGGTTTGGATTGTTGTTTTTTTCTCCTTCCCTCAACCTTGGAATGTTTATGAGAAAGTTGAAACTGAAAAATGTTGTGCCTAGACTGGTAAGATTTCCCCTGGGTTTTATGATTTGGAGGGGGGAATAGGAAGAGGAGAAGGAAAAGTGACTAGGAATTTTTGTCCCTGTTTGTCACCTATAAACTTAATGCCTCTTCCTTTTTGACTAGTTTTGGAAACCCACCAGTGCTTTTTGTGTTCTCACTCTTATAGCACAAAGACATGGAAACACGGGGATGTCCAAATTAGTGATTGGGCAATGATGAAAGAAATGTGAAAGTAGGAACTCTTGTTTCTTTAAATATATGCAAACTCATGCCTTCCCTTCTCAAATTACTTAGATCAAAGTAGGTAGCTTCCAGTAAGGAAGTGCCCAAAAAGGAGCAAGCAGAACAGACTGACTATTCTGCCTTTAAAATAAAAGCCACTTCTTGATGCTTGTCTTTAAAGGAGGATCAAGACAACTTTGAAGAAAGCAAAATTGATGGGGGAGGAAGGGCCCAGTGTAGATTCTTCCAGTTCTCCACAGTTCTAGGAAATGTGAAATTTGGATAAGCCCAGAAACTACAGCCCCCATCATGGAATAAATGTACTGTTTATGAATTTGTATAAAATTAAAGATCCTCTTAAAACATTTTATATTCTTACAGTAAAAGGCTAAACTGATATTTATATAATAAAAAAGGAAATATGAAGTATGTTTTTTAAAAAAAAATGTTGCATGTGTGTCTTTGTCCTTTAAAAGGTAGGAATATCCTAAGCTGTGAGGAGAGTTGTGGTTCCCCTCCTTCCCTTGGTTAATGAGCAATTTGGTCTAGTGAATCAAAGCCACTGGAACGCTTTTGTCCTTTGAGCATAAAAGGTTAAGTAACTTACAAATTAGAAGTTAGAACTTCAAAAATTCACTGTTCAGCAAATGGTTCGGTTTGAAAGGATCTTTAGAACTTCTACGGTAGATTATCCTACCTGTACATAAGTTTGTACCTGCGACTAATAGTTTTTAGTGCACTGTTGGGCAAATGCCTCCTAGCATAACAATGAAACACACTGTCTCCGTTACTAAGAACAATATGTATTTTTTCCTTTTAGTTTGTTACACAATAAGTTGAGTGAATTTGAAGAAACTGGGGGATGGTTGAAATACTTGTAAGCCAGGCTTTCAAAGAAAAATAAATGCCAAATTTGGATGTTAAAGTAGGCTAAATTGGATTGGGGCGGTCCCTTCATACTCATCTCTGACTTTTCCTCTTGATAGCAGTCTTTTCTTTACTTCTCCTCTGAAGGTTTTTAAACAACTGGGAGGAAGGTGAAGCCTTCTAGAGTATAATATACAAAATACTAACTCCCCTCCCACGGAGCGTTTTCTCTCCCCTTTATTAATAAACTAGAGATGGCGGGGAGGGTAGAGAATTTGAAATGGTGGAAAGAGGCAAACCCATTGTTCAGTAAAGTTAAAAAAAGGAGCTGTCCTTGCTTGCTTGCTTGCTTGTTCAGTCATGCAGACTGAATCGTGCTGTGAGAGGGTCCCTATGGAAGAGAGGAGGGGTGGCTATTTTTCTTTTTTTTTTTTTTTAACATTCCTCTCCAGGCCTGGCTGTCTCTTAAGCCTCTTTTCCGCTGGGTGAGGGGGAGGGCCTGGAGTTCCTGTATATTTGCATTTCAAGGGCTGTCTGTGGTGCATTGAAGCAGTTCTCCAAAGCCCACGTCTTCCCTAACTCGCTCCAGGTAAGTCTGTGTCACAGGTGTGTGTTGGGGGAAGCCAGTACTTCTCCAGCATAACCCTCAATGGCAGTGTCCCCATAATACCTGAACTTCCAGTGTTTCAATATTAGGAAAAAAAAGAAGACAACCATTTTTCATCTTTAAAAGAAGACAAAGGAAACGGGAAGAGGAAATATTTGTCCAGAAATTCTGTTATTGCCTGAAAAGAAAATGAGAACTTTTCCAATCTTCTCCGATCTTGTATCTCCCCAAATGCAGAAGTTGTGCTTCAACTTTAACAAAAAAAAAAAAGATGTCAGGGTGGTGTAGGTGGATAGGGATTATGGGAGTTGAAGTCCCAACATAGAGGGTGCCAGGTTGAGGAAGGCTGGCCTAGACTGCTGCTTTTATTTAAAACCTTCCATGCTCTCTGTTGGGAGCTGGTCACAAAAGCTGCATTGTTCTCATTGGCAAAAGCCAGCACAATTGGATCTAATTGAGCCTGACACTACATCCATCTTCTTTTACTTGGAGGGAAGTGCAAAGGCTGCTTCTATCCCAACCCCTTGGCCTCTGGGTGGGAGTTTTTAAATTTATAATACATCTGTGGCTGAAGAAAATATGAAGCCTATTAAAATAAGAAGGCTTGACCTTAGCCACAGTCTGTCAATGGTAGACAATGCAGGACTCAGGTTTTTTTTTTAAAAGTCAACAGAAACAGTTCAGGCTTTTGTATAAAGTATGTTTAGCTTGGCAGATTGGTTATATTTTAAAATAAATTGTACTGAATCTTAAAAAGTGATTTGGACTCTGCAAGCTAGGAAGTTGTGGGGAGTAAATATACATACTGCACGTTTCATGAAACAGTTCCATGCCCCATTCATTCTGTGAAACACTCATTGTTGGCACCAGCAATTATAACGTGAACAATGTTTTTTTAACACCCCCCCCAAAAAAATTTGTAACTTCAAATGTTGCACTTCTAGCGATAGTATGGTTGCTTAGTTGTTTTGTAGCTCAGTGTGTCGTGTGTACCAGCCATCATAAACTATCATCATGAATTAGCACAAGCAAACTCAAGTCAACTGTGGCTTGGGTTCACTTCTCAGACCAATGTTAAATTAACCAGTTTATTAATCACATTTATAGACTGCTGTAGTCCCAAACTACATTTCACAGCTCTCCAAGATAAAAATAAACCAAGCATCCACAATATAATTAAAATACAATAAAATATATAACAAAACTATAAACCCAACCAAGATGGTATTATGGTCCAAATGCCTTTCCAAAGAGGGTTCTACATGGGACTGTCTTTAATGACCACCTAGAACAGGGGTCCTCAACCCCCAGTTCGTGGACCAGCCCCGGGTTTGTGGCGTGCCAGAAACCAGACTATGCAATCAAGTGAAGCCTCAGGCACAGGATGCAGGCAGTGTGCAAAACCACGTCCCTTCTGGACAGAGAGCTCTGATCTGTTGGAGCCATTCTCCCAGCTTAAAGAGTCACAGCTTCAAATGTTCCTACATCCCTAGGACCACTTGGCTTTTATTTTCCACATCTTCTCTAGTTCATCTTTCAGACCCTGGTATTTCCCCAGTTTCTCATACTATCATGACTGCTGTCTTCTGCTCCTTGTCTACTAGAACGATGTCTG